CAGTTTGACCCTTGCCCCTAGCTGTACCCTATTCCTATATGCCAGTCACCCAGGAACATACCCACAGGGCAAAAGACAAGGGACAAGTCTCACTGTGCTAAGAGTTTTGAATTAGCTCTTTAGTGCCTTAATTCTTAATATGAATAGATGCTTCTGGCATTTGAAGAAAATTATTAATATTAAAGAGTGCCAAAACAAACAGTATTAAGGAACCTGAAGAAAACAGAGATAATGGAGGGAACAAAAGAAAACTTCAAAACCACTCTTAAAAACATAAGAGAACAAATTTTGTCCATTGGAAAAAAAAGAACATGTTAAGAGAAAAGAATAGTACAGGAACACAGAAATCTTCTAGAGACAAAAAATATGACAGCCAACAGAAAAAATTTAATAGAGGGCTTAAGATAAAATTGAGAAAACCTTCTGGAAAGGAAAATAAAACAAAACAAAATGACCAAAACACAGATCAGATAAAGGAATAAAGGATGGGCCTAGCAGTCCAATAATCAACTGATAGGAATTCCTGAAAGAACAAAAAAATTATCAAAGAGATAACATAAGAACATTTCAAAAGCCCCTAAAGAGAGAAGCTCCCAGCTTGAAGTGGCCCACCTAATTAATGCTCAGTGTAATAAATGAAAAATAATCTACACCAAGGCACATCATCATGAAATTGAAGAGGAATAAAGAAGAGACCCCAATAGCTTCCAAATTAAAAATAAAACAAGTCATATTTGAAGGATTACGAGACAGACTAGCATTGGATTTTAAAACAACACCCCACGAAGCTACAAGACTATTAGCCAATTAAAATATTAAGAGTGAGTAGAAAGTTTTTGGACATGGAAGGAAATATCATGCATCCTTTCTCAGGAATTTCCTGAAGGACACACTCCGGTAAATGAAAAAGCTAAGAACAAAATGGCACAGGACCAAAGAAACAGGGATTCAATAAAGAACAGCAAAGGGGAAGTCCCCAAATCAACTCTGCAAAAGGCCTAGAGAATTAATCTAGACTGGGTAGGTGTAGAAGACTTAATGCGGAAAACAAAAATGTACAACAGGAACAAGGCAGATATAATGGAACATCTACAAAGAAATTAAGGATACATAACACAGAAAACTATGCAATTTAATTTCAGAAAAACAGTATCTTACTCCAGTAAAGAAATGAAATGCTGTATACTGCTTGTTTCATAAGTACACAGAATTTGTGGTCAAAATGTAAACAATGACTACTGATTTGACTAAAAATATAACTATATCAAGATGATGGAGATAATTTAAAGATGTTAAATCTTTATCTATGCCAATAGAAAGAGAAAACCTTCTGGAAAGGAAAATAAACAAATGCTACACTAACAAAGAAATTCAAGAGATGAAGACAATAACTCAAAAAAATCACAATGTAAAAACTTATTTTAAGATACAGAAATAAACTCCAGAAGAAATAGCAAAAAGTTTTAAAAGTGACTGTACTTGAGAGAGGAACAGGGTGAAACAGGAAGGAAAGGATAAAAGATAGTTATTTTTACCTTGAAAAATATTCTAAATAAAAACAAGGGTTTCTAAAATTTTAAAGTATATAAAACAAAGAAAAACAGATTTGTACACTAATCAAAAGAAAATAATTGGGATTTAAAAAAAATTTAGTCCTTTGTGTCTCCATATATTTCTTTAATTTCTCATCTTATGAAAGAAAAATCACTTCTATGCAGTTCATTTTTTGTAAACAATATTTATCAACTTCTTTTCTCTCCCTACCCTAAGCACGCTGACATCTAGTACCCAGGAACATTTCTCAAGAGGGATAAGTTTCTGTTTATCCATTTATAACTTTCCTCTCAATATTCTAAACCAAGGTAATTTTTTTAACATATCTGAATTTAAATTAAATATTGTAGAGTCTAAGTATTCATTAGCCTTTATCGAGAATTAAACATTTTTTTAAAGTATTCTAAGTAATCTCTGATCTTTCTATGTACCAATTCATCCTGCACATGGTTAACAAATAAATCAACCTAAAATAGTATTTTCTTCACCTATCCTTCAAACAGGACCTGGAATGATCCCCCTCACTTCTCGCGAGATTGAGTTGAATTCTTTTTGATATTTATGAACGTTCTTAGTTTGCCCAGATCTCATTTTTCTAGACCATAACTCTCCAAAGTTCTGTCAGTCAAATCTTTCTGCTTCCTCTTCATGACAAGCTGTTTTTGCTGCCATCTCTTCTTGGTGCTGTGTCCCTAAATTTGAAAGCCCTCACTTAAGTTTTACTTAAGGTCAAGCTCAAGTCCCATGACTTTCTAGAAGCTGCCACTTTGGCCTGCACTGACTGATCTCTTCCTCCTTGAACCAGAGAGCAATCAATCATTGCTTCTCATAGTTTCAAAACTGGGTTGGCTCACTATTGATGGGGGGGCCCCTGTGTTTCATGCAATGCCAGTCATATAAAAGAAAAACAGTATTATGTGAACGCTTAAAAAATTCAGATTGATCTAAATTCCTCCAAAATCAATCTTAGAAAATCAACACATACCAGGTCAAAAAACAAAAAAATAAATTAGAACAGCGATCTAGAACACAGCTGTTTCTGCAGTGCAAATGACTCCCCACCGCTTCCCACAAAACATAGCTGACCTGAAGAGCCTGAGGGTGAGCTGCTCAACTGGCACACTGAGGATGAAGAACAATCCTCAACACATTCAAGAGAGCATTTTGAGTTGTCAGAGATGAAGGTTATTAATGCATGAACAGACCCAGATCCACTCAAATTTATTTTTCAAAAAATAAATCCTTTTTAAAGGTTGGTATATTCACTATTCTTCCTAACAAATTACTTGCTACTCTTACAAAAAACTAATGGTTTTGTGTCAGCACTATAGTTGAGTAAAAGTTATTTCAAAGACAATCCAAGTAGCTGTTGCATATCCATTGTTACACTAATAACTAATGTTTTTAAAGAAACAAATACATTTGTACTTACTTCAAGGATATCTTTACTTTGGGTTTAAAATAGGGTGCGTTCTGGTCTGCCAAAAAGACGATTAAATCATTTCCTAAAAGAAGTCAATATGTAATATTAGAAAAATGCCTCCAGGTAAGATCTCCCATCTGTGATTACAAGAAGCTTTCAGAGCACTGTTCTCAACAAAAAAACAGGTATTTTACTCCAGTTCATCCACCCTTTCAAGGTTAGTCCTACTGGTATGATGGAATGGGGATTCCTAACAGTATATCACAAATTCAATGTTCAAAGCAGAAGAGAAACAGGGAAGATGAACACAGAAATTAGTCATGACAAATTGAAGCCAATGGCTTCTAAGCAAGGAGTCAGATGGGTAGACTTCAAAGAACCACCTAAAGAACATGCCTTCTAACTATACTATATATATCAAGCTTCGTCTTCCCCAAAACAACACACAGCCCCTTTTAAGAGTTTTAATTTATTACCCAGATGCGTAACACCAAGGACACAGGAACTCCTACTGTAGGTATCTGAACAGTTACAAGGGTGTGATTATGTATTTAAGCAGAAGAAGCTGAATCATCCAAGACCCTCCTCTTGCAGCTCCTAAGGAATTATCCTTAAGGTTGATGCTTTCTTGTAGCTCAAGGAGTGCTCACTGGAACAGACTTGTGAAATTGTTTAATCAAACACAAGCCATCTTTAAAGTTAAGAGGAAAGTCTCTGTATCCAGTTTGGATGGAGTAGCTACAGGTTTGGCAATATGCACCCTTCTTGTAATACATGAAGTCAAAGATAGGAAACATATCTAGTGTCCGCAAGAGATTCTGGGGTTCTGCTAAGGATCCCAAGTAATCTGGGCTAGGATCCTGTCAGTAAAGCTCTGTATAACTGATTCAGTACCTTTCCTCCTGGGCTTGACCTTAAACAATAACTGCTTCCGTGGGTACTCAAGAATGTTAACACCCTCTCATGCCCATTGTCAGCATCAAAATTTACAAAAAAGTTTTAAGTGATGGTTAAGGGAGAGAATACCCAAGAACCTCAAGTTGGCAAAGAAAACAGAGATTTGGAAAACTAGGGCGGTGACCGAAGTGAGGAGGGGTCAGGCGCACATAAAAGACTACACAGTGCAGGAGGGAGAAGAATCTGCAATTTGTGAATTCTTTCCCAAGGAGACACTGGGTTTTTATCAGTGGCTTCTGCAAAATGCTTGTGTGAGCTGTGTAGTGTTTAGGGCACTGGAAGGGTACAGTAGCTTCAAAGAAATATGGGACCCTGACAAAGGGAGGAGTAGGTTGAATTAGGTAAATGAGGCAGGCAGAAGTCCCCCAAGAGAAGAAACTGTCAAGTTGCATCTATCCAGTTCATCATAGGGGAAGGAATATCAAAGGATGTAAAGCAGAAAGAATGAAGAAGGGGCCTTGGGAAGGAACCAAGAGGTAAGCTACAAAGACTCCTGGGAAATCAGGAAGGGCTTGGAAAGGAAGGTGATTCCACGGGGAGAAAGGGGTGAGTGGGTGAAGGCCGCAGCTTCTCAGGGAAAAACAACACTGGGGTGTTCCCAGGGCTTTGTGGGGGGTGGGAGAATAGATCAAACTGTGGGGTGGCCGGGCCAGGGCCTGGAAAAGAAGAAAATGGGCAAGCTATCAAGGGTGCCGAATAAAGGGAAAGAGACAGAGCTAGGAGGGAAGGTCCGGGAAATGCAGGAGGACTGGCCATCCGGGCCAGGGGTGTGGGGAACACTGGGAGGGGCACAGGGGCAGCGGACAGAGGGAGGACCGGGCAAGCACTGACTTTCCCGCAGCACGAAGAGGTCCGTCTGCTTGTCGGAGTTGAGGTCTCCGAAGGCCGCCAGGGTGCCCCAGGCCTCGGCCCCAAAGAGCTCGGCCGTGACGTTGTGCAGCGCCCGGACGAGGACCGGCCCGACTCCCAGCAGCGCGAGTCCCCCGATTAGAGGCGCCAGCAATAACCAGGAGCTCGGCAGTCGGCCCGCCGCCGCCATGGCAGCCCCGCGGCTCCCGCCCGCCGGCCCAATGCCGCGCTTGACGGCAGCCGGAAAGCACCGTGCCGCCAACAGAGAGAGGGAAAGCGCGCAGCCCCAACGCTGGTACAGGCTGTCGCCTGCTTCCCGCGCACTCTCTCCTAGGGCTATCCCTCTGACGCTTGGAAGGCCACCGAGCCAGGTTGAAGATCGCCCTCCCGCTCACTTCCGGCCGGCGCGCTTCCCGACAGTGTCGCGCGGGGGAGGCGGGGCTGGCCGGGCGGAGCTGACAGGCGTTCCCGGGGGCGGTGGCCAAGGCGGTGTCCCCAGCCTGACGGTCAGGGCGACGGGGCTCATGGCTGAAGTGAGCTGGAAGGTTTTGGAGCGAAGAGCCCGGGCCAAGCGCTCAGGTTTGGCTGGCTGGGGTGCCACCCCCTTCCCTCGCGCCGTGGGTGGTCCTCCCTTTCAAGCGCCTTGGGCGGGAGGCAGGTGGGGGTCCTGGAACGAACCCTGTACCCGCGAGTTTCCCCTCAGAAAGACAGAGGTAGAACTGGCCTTCCACCTGATGTCTCCCCTCGTCCTCTAGCAAGTACGTGGTGGCCCCAGCTTTACTTCATGTGTGTTCCCCCTTAGAAAGTAGGTGGTGTTGTCGACTTCACACGGAATCTTCCTACTTGGAACTATCGTGCAGCTGCCACATTCCTGGGAAAGAGAGTGTGTCCTTCCTCTGTGTGTTTCTCCACAAAAGTCAGTTAAGTTGATTCTTAGATATGACTGATCTGGTCCTAGAAACCCGGCGGCTGCCCGTTGCCTTATTTCATACTTCGCTTCTACATTCCTACCGAGTACTGAACCCTAGGCCAGTTATTTACGTGGCATAAATTGAGGAGAACAGGACCTTAGGCTACTAACGGGGTCACGTTGAGTAGTTAGGGCTCAGAAGGAAGCGGGGCCCCCTTCCTTCTCACGTGGACCCAGGACGCTTAGTTCTGGTGATGCCTCCCACACCCAAGGCCTCCGAGGTCAGAAGACGCTGCGCAGGCAGTTCACAGTTGAAGTGTCCTGAACTGACTTGTTCAAATTGCAAAGTCACGGCTTTGAAGTTAGCAGTTGTGGCTGAGGAACTCTTGAGAGCCAGGATTGAAACTTAATCTTATTTCTGGCCGACTGTGTATATAATGTTGAGATAAAAGAGTGTCTATAAACAGGAAAGGTGGTGGAATAAATCTTCAACTAGGAATCATACCCTTTAAAGAATGGTCATTACTCTGTTGTTAATGTTGGGAGATGCTAATGTCCATGTTGCTAATCTAAGAACATGAAAGGCGTAACCCTAGGAAAACTAACTCTGCATATGCATTGATATTGAGATTTTTTTTCTCAGCTAATGTGTTGAACTTTCCCCACTTACGAAGTTCTTAGATGTTGTTCACTCTTCCCCCACCCCCCCTTTTATTTTAATTTGAAAAAATATTTGAGTTCATAAATCTCACAGGAGAAATTCACCCCATCTTTGGTTAATTTCATTCTGTTTGTAAATTTAACAATAAAAAGTTCTGCATTTATTTTCTTAGGATTATAGCAAAACTACCACGAAAGTATGAGAGAAATTTTCAAGTAATCCTTACTACATTTTAGAGTCAATAAATTTACTTGGAATAGTCACATATTTTTTCACAATTTTTCTTAAAATTTTTATGTCGTATTGAATTATTGAGTTGACCACTAACAAGGTGTCTATCTGAGCTATATAAAGTGTTATTGACTGATAATATCTGATCAAAGAGAGTAACCCCAGTTTTTTTACAGGGAACTGAGTGAGCTCTGCCCTCATCATATATTTCACAGCATTTTTCCTTTCCTTTAAAAAGCATATGGTTTATTTTCTTCTCCAGTCTTTATTTCCTCTGAAATGCATGTCATAATAGCAAGCTTTGACAACCTGCCTTCTTTCTTAGCTGAGGAAAAAATTTCAAATTTTATTTAACTGTTGTGAAATGGAGTCACTTAAATCTAGTTTCCTGTGCAAAGTAGTTAAGTGCATAATGGAAATGTTGGTGTTCCTGTATGTTTACATCATAGTAGTAAGAGATACCATTTGAAGTCATTCCTCCTAATTAGTTGAGGTTTCAGATCCTGGTAACATGTAATCTGTAAAATTTCTTGAGTGAATCATTGATTTCCTGTGTCATTAAAAACAACCAACCTACTTCTGTTTGTGACTTTTAAAGAATGTATAAACCAAGCTTTCTTTGAAACTTAGAAGCTACTGCAGAGTAATGAGCATTGTTACATTGTAGCATAATCACTTCACTGCTCAATAGAGGATGCTACTCTTATGTAATGTTTAATAAGTGGATATTACATATTTCCTGCCAAATCCATGTAAGCAAATGTAATTTATCAAAGCAAGAAAATCGAATTTTCAAGTCATAAGAGAAAATAAAATTATAATGAACCTCAATTACTGCCTTTGTTACACACTGCATCATGTTAATAACTGCTCACACTGCTTTCAATTAATCTAATGCTGATTGCTTCTAACCTTCACTAAACAGTATGAAAATTGCTGTAGTTTAGCCTGCGACACTTATGATTAGAGTCAACAATTTGAAATGGCCAGCTCACCTGATGCAGACGTCTCTTCTCCACCAGCTTTCTTAAGGTCTGGTAAGTGTGTAGACCCGAAAAGGGTCACTTAGTAATTTTAAATACCTTTGTTTCTGAAGGTTGATGTTACCATACATACGATATCATTTTGGTGTTATTTCCTCTTTGGTGGGCCCATGCCTGAACACCATTTCTGCTGCTGTTAGGCTCAAGTTTACATTGTATGTTGAGTGTGCTCTGTGGTGGGGTGTGGGGCTTAAGAAGTACAAAGTAGACCTCCTGCCTTTACAGTTGCTCTGTTTTGACTAGGGATGGCTCCTCAGTGTCTAGGAGCCTCAACTGTCAAATGGGTACATAAAAAGCTTCTTAAATTATTTTTGTCTTCTTGCCTAATGGAACTAACCCTTATAAACTAGAATTTTTTGGTTAACATCCCAACTATTTACCCTTCAACTCCTGTGAAGTAGGTATTTTTATATACATTTTCATTGACAGGAAAGTGAAGCCTACAGAGGTGAAGCATTTTGCCTCAGGTCCTGAAACTATAATGTTTCAAGGCTATTCGCTTTGTTTTCCATCCCATGGTTCTCTGGTATAAGGGCTGGAGGAGACAGTACAGTGGCTCTTACTGCTGCCACTTTGGTGAGACCTTTTGCAAGCTGGATGAAAGCTGTGGAATTGCTCCCTAGATGAGTGACCAGGATTTCAGAAATAATTTTGAGAAGATACATGCATCAGGGAAAAACCACACATGGATTCCCTTTAGGAACTCATACCTTTGGATGTGTCCAGTCTTGCCTTACGGAAGAAGGAAAGGGCTTTGTTAAGTGGCCATGGAACTGAAATGAAGACTGATGCCTTTAGGGCTTTTTTCTGTAAGTTGTGACCCACCTTGGGCCATTTAAAATTTGTTGTCTGTGTGAACATTCTGGAAGAAGCCTTTTAGGCAAGAAGCTGCTCTTATTTCTAATGTGCCTTACGCAGAAGCCTCAGGACTCATTAATAGGTAAAGGTGAGATGATCCAGCCCAAATGATGGGAGTGAAAACTCTTTCTTTTTGGTTTTATTATAACCTTTCAAAAGTGGTTCCCCCTTTATTACTGTTTATATTTCAAGTCCTGTTTTGGCAATATGGAGGAGGAAAATTTTGAAGAAATAGGAAACAGCTTCTGGAAGAATCACAAATAGGAGAAAACAAAGCTTATACTTAAAGGAATGAAAATGATCCTTGTCTTCAGTTGTCATCCGCTAAATGACAGAATATTATATGTAGCATTGCCAATTGATTTCTGATTTAATCTTTGAACTAGGAGAACAAGAGGACATTTATCCTTAAACTGTGTTTTCTTTCTTCTAAGCACCAGACTCTGTTGTCCATCTTGGCTTTCCTAAGAAGGGCGTAGGTTTTCAGCACTACCAGTCATTCAGCAGTTATGGGGAAAAAGAATGCTAAAGAAGGCTTTTACACATCAATAGTCCTGAAAATTTCAGACCTAAGAACTGTGCTTTAATATTGTATACAGTGTTTGAAAACATATACAAGCTTTTCTAGCACGTTTATTAAATTGAAATAGGATGCACCAAGAAACAAAAAAAATACCAAACTTCACTTTTTTAAGCTATTTTAAAGACTGATTCCTTACAAATTACTCAATATTTACACTATTTTTGGTGCTCTGACCAAAACTTAGCAGTGACTTAAAGAAATACTTAAAGCCTTTATCTGGTAAAATACCAGAATAGTTTGCATTCATAGTTTACTTACTGATTTAGAAATACTGCATTCATGTTAGAAATGATTTGTTTTCCTGTATTAGAGTTCCTTGGATGTTATCATTGTAGGAGAGTGTTTTATGGTGTAATTTCACTCAACAGTCATTTTAAAGCCTGTTCTGGGGTCACAGCTGAGCTCCCTGGTACTTTTGCCTAGAAACTATTTAATGCTACCAAAGTGAGAGCTAGTATCTTGATTGTGGAAATTGGTTTCCAATGTACCTAGACGTTTTATTCATTTTAATCCTCCTGGGTGTGTTTCTGCTATTTTTGTCTTTGTTTCTATTCCTTATTGAATTTAGTATGTGTCCTGCATTTATGTGTGTGCATGCTTGAGCTGTGCTCTGACTGTTAATGTGTCATTCTGTGCTGTGGTTGGATATAATTTATTTTGTTATGACTGTTTAAACACAAAGAGAGATCTGGATGCCACTGTTTTCTTTAAAACCATGGAGTAAAATGTACAGGAGAGTGAATTTATAGGCAAATTCCACAACCAAAATAAACCAATTGTTAGGGAAGGAGTGCAGCACCCAGTACCTCAGATTGCTTCAGTTTCTCCTGTGACTAACCACAGCTATAGAATATATTACATTAGCAGTTAGCTGCAGTAGTCACTTTGGCATTATCATTCAATTATTTGTAGTAATTGTTACGGCATTTTGTGACAAGGTAAGAAATATCTTGGAATTTTACCTTTTGTTCTTAAGTGATAATTTAAAAAATTACTCCATCTTAAAAATCAGTCATCAGTTTATCTTGCCTCCCTAAGTTTATCAGCATCTAAGTGAGTTTCTCAGCATGTGACTTGATTTTTTTCCTTTCCTTACTTCTTTTTAGGTTCATTGATTAATTTTCCTTGATTAATTTGATTTGATGGGCTTATCAGTACCTGATAAAGTTTTATTTGTATATTCTGGGCAAAACTCAACCTTTTACTTTACATGTCTGATACTCTCTTCTTTTAGGCATTAATAGTAGCCTTGTTTTCAGCCTAATTTAGCAGTCAACTAATAGAGAAAGGTTT